GTCAGTCATCACTATTGGTTGCCAGGAATTTTTTTTTTTAAAGACAGTTTTGCTTTTGTTGCCCAGGCTGGAGTGTAGTGGCGTGAGCTCAGTTTACTGCAACCTCCGACTCCTAGATTCAAGCGATTCTCCTGCCTCAGCCTTCCAAGCAGTTGGGATTATAGGTGCCTGCCACCACCTCCGGCTAAGTTTTTGTATTTTTTGGTAGAGATGGGGATTCACGATGTTGGCCAGACTGGTCTTAAACTCCTTACCTCAGGTGATCCACCACCTCGGCCTCCCACAGTGTGGGGTTATAGGTGTGAGCCACCACATCCGCTCTTTTCTTTGTTGTTTTCTGAGACAGGATCTTGCTCTGTCACCCAGGCTGGAGTGTAGCAGCGTGATTACAGTTCACTGCAGGCTTGACTTCCTGGACTCAGGGATCCTCTCACCTTGGCCTTCCAAGTAGCTGGGACTACAGACACGCACCATCATGCCTGGCTAATTAAAATAAAATTTTTTTTGTAGAGATGGGGTCTCACCATGTTGCCCAGGCTGGCCTCAAACTCTTGGACTCAAGCGATCCTCCCACCTTGGTCTCCCAAAGTGCTGAGATTACAGCTGTGAGCCACTGCACTGGGCTGGTTGTCAGTTTTTGAGAGCTCATTAAGAACCAGGTGTCAGGCCCGGCACGGTAGCTCAGGCATGTAATCCCAGAACTTTGGGAGGCTGAGGCGGGCAGATCACCAGGTCAGCAGTTCGAGACCCGCCTGGCTAACATAGTGAAAGCCCATCTCTACTAAAAATACAAAAATTAGCTGGGTGTGGTGGTGGGAACTTGTAGTCCCAGCTACTCGGGAGGCTGAGGCAGAAGAATCTGGGAGGCGTACCTGGGAGGCGGAGGTTGTAGTGAGTGGAGATTGCGCCATTGCACTCCAGCCTAGGCAACAAGAGCAACACTCTATCTCAAAAAAAAAAAAAATCGCATTTTTCTTATAGGAAAGTAAGATCCAGTGGATTCTAGCTGTTCGTGGTCATGATGTATAAAGATTCTGCAAACACTGAATCATCAAATACTGAACCCTTGCTCCTAAGGGAAATACAAGGCAAGGTTCTCGCAAGCCAGTGGCCAATCTACATATCATCTTTTTCATTTTTGTAAGAGATGGGTCTTGCTATGTTGCCCAGGCTGGAATGCAGTGGCTATTCATAGGCACGAACATAGACCACTATAGCCTTGAACTCCTGGGCTCAAGTGATCCTCCTGTCTCAGCCTCCCTAGTAGCTGGAACTGTAGGCATGCATCAGCACTCCATAATCTTGTTTTATGTGTGTTTCTGTTTGAAGACTCTGTATTGATCGGGAACGACAACTCACACCTGTAATCACAACTGTTTGGGAGGCTGAGATGTGTGGATCATTTGAGGTCAGGAGTTTGAGACCAGTCTGACCATGCTGAAACCCCATGTCTACTAAAAATACAAAGAAATTAGCTGGGCATGTTGGTGGGAGCCTGTAGTCCCAGCTACTCGGGAGACTGAGGCAAGAGAATTGCCTGAACCAGGGAGGTGGATGTTGTAGTCATTGTGCTACTGCACTCTAGCCGGGGCGACAGAGCAAGACCCCATCTGTAAATAAATAAATAGGTACCTTATTTAATATATACATCATTCATTTATTAACATTGAATTCATGCCCACAGCCCTGTAGCTCAGGCCTGCAAGAAGCAGAGCGCATGCATTGTCTCTATCACTGCATCTCAGCCTTCCTGTGCTTAGGAATGCTAGGCGGCCCTTTAGTACTATGCTTGGGGGCCGCTTTAGTCAGTGAAGCTGCCAAAAAAAAAAAAAAAAAAAAAAAAAAAGCAAAAACCTTGGCACTAAGTAGACTGCAAGGAAAAGTGCTTATTTATGGCACAAGAGCTGAAACCAGAAGGCAGAGCGTTGCCTTTTCCACCTCAGCTGGGAACAGGTGCATTGAGTCACTCCCATTTTTCAGCGTGAATGACTGCAAATGCCCTGTGAGGGCAGATTTGGGGGTTGCAAATACAGTTCGGTGAGTAGGTGAATTTGCAAATACGGAATTGAAAATGATGATTGACTATAATGCACTTCCGGGGTTGGCCGTGGTTGGTATTCAACCCTAACTTTTAAGATTTTCCCACCAGCCAGGCACAGTGATTACACAGCCTGTAATCCCAGCACTTTGGGAGGCCGAGGTGGGTAGATCATGAGGTCAGGAGATCAAGACCATCCTGGCCAACATGGCAAAACCCCATCTCTACTAAAAATACAAGAATTAGCCGGGAGTGGTGGCGTTCCCCTGTAGTCCTAGCTACTCAGGAGGGTGAGGCAGGAGAATTGCTTGAATCCGAAAGGCGGAGGTTGCAGCGAGCTGAGATTGTGCCACTGCACTCCAGCCTGGGCAACAAAATGAGACTCTGTCTCACAAAAAAAATCTTCTCCCCATCCTGCCAACCATCTTCCTTGGTGGTGACTACAAAAGTCAGTGCGCCCCCAGCAGGCGGTGGTCACGCTTTCTTCTGAAGCCCTAGTTGGAGTGTGCAGCATAGAACCTGGCACACAACTGGCCCCTCCATGCCCATGTGAATAAGGGCAGGTCTCAGCCTTTGACTGAGCCCTCATCTGTGAAATGGGGAGATTAAGTCTTTCTACCTCCCGGGATGCAGAGACCACCTTGGAAGCAGATGTCTGGAAAGGGCCAGGACCCCTTGGGAAATGCTACAGAAACACCTTCAAGACAAAGGACAGCCAAGATGGCCATTGTTTCAAGGGCGATGAGTGTTGTCTTCACTTCTCCTTCCACCCAAGACACAGACCCAGGGCCAGCAGCCCCCTGCGGAATTGAGTGTCAAGCCACTTTCTGGCCATTAATCTCTAAGCATCTATCAGGCCCATTTGCTCCAGCACATCTTCTCATCTTAAAACCCCCCAGCTGGGCCCTGGTGGACCAGAAATGGGCTGAGAGACAGTGGGGCTGTAGCCAGCTAGAAGCTATGTTCTCATGGACCAGGCGCTGCACTGTGCCATCTGTGGGGGCTGTGGGACATCATGGGTGGTCACCACTTTTGAATGACCCTGGAAAGATGGTGCCTCCTACCTGATGAGAGGCCAAGGGTACTGACTGAGGCACATTGACTGAGAACTCCCCAACCCCAGCCCAAACTTCTGGGTGGGGCTGGGATCGGCTCAGCAGGGTCCTCGATGAATCCTGAGCTTGGGCAGCTGGCAGAGACCCAGTAGGCAAGCGCGGTGGCAGGTGGGGGTGGGGCACACGTTCAGAAGACAGACTGGGCATTCGCCCACCCCGCCTCCCCGACCCCGACTGCCCTTGCAGTGATGACCATGCATCTTTCTTAATGGAACACAACCGCTGAACTTGGTACATTTCAAGCACTTTAGCCTTCCAGTACAGCAGACTGCTGATGAAAATCATCTTCCTTGGGCGCCATGTTAATGAGAGGCCAAATTTCATATGCTTGCAAACTTTCTGCCCTGCCTCCTGTTGTACTACACCCCCTCCCCGCAATAAAAGATTGCATCAGAGAGAAAGAGATTTCCATAATTTATAGTATGGGCATTTCACTGGGGACAAGCGCTAATCTGTACTTACCGATACATTTAAGAAAATGCATCCTCCGCAAGCCTGCACCATTTATGACTCTTGGCACAAACCGCAATGCTCAGTCTTCAATTAAGGGACACCTTAGGGTTCATTATCACACAATCGCTCCCTGTGAACCATGCCAAATGCTGTTTTGGCACAGAGCTTGGAAGATGAATTAGAAGGAAGTCTTCTCTGTAATGCCCTCTCTGAATTCCCATTACCGTCATCAGCCTTTACGTCCTCCTCCCACTCGGCCCCTCCCCCCAGTTTCCAAGTGCCTTTTACTATTCAATTTCTCAACGTCAAACTCGATTCTCTGGAGGTGCAGTTAAAGATGCCACATCTCTTTTTTGTCTTCCGGCTCTCAACAGGCCTGCCATGGCTGCAGACGGGCTGCTCTCCACACCCCTTTTCAGCCTGAAGGAGCCACAGATGCTTTTGCCCCCCCCTCCTGTCAGAGCCTGGAGTACAGACAAGAGGCTGGTATTGGCCAGGCACACCCCACCAAGCCCTGTGAGGGTCCTGACCAGGATGGAGACAGCACCCTGCACCAAGTAGAGGCGGCCTGCACAGAAAGGCTGAGGGCCAAGGCAGGGGCTGCTCAGACATGAAAGCAGACACTGTGCTCAAAGCCAGTCACCCCAACTGACAGGAAGAAGGAAAAAAAAAAGGCAAGGCTGATGTTTATTTCTGAACGCCCTTCCAAGTCTGGGGCTGACCCTGTCCCCACGAATCCTAAGACTGTAACTTAACACTTCTGGGAAAGGATGCCCCGTTTGTGTCTTTATGAAAGGACAGCAGAGAATGAGCACGAGCTGACGCTTCCCAGTCCTCCTGGCAACCTGGGGTCCCACCGTGGGCACAGGGCTGTGAGAAATTGCTACCCACCAGGGCCACAGGTGAGGCTGGGGACAAGGAGGCAGGGGTGTCAGGCAGCAACAGCCAGGGACACCCAGCCAGGCCTAGGGCAGCCCACCTACATGGGCGAGTGTGCGTTTGTGGGCAGGCCGTGGAAGGGGAGCGGGTGGAGGGAAAGGGGCCGCCCAGCCAGTGGCAGAAGCCGGCTGACCCACTGCACGCCTTTCGATGCATCTCCAGCTCCATCCGATGACACTCCCGTACTGAACTTCTCACTTAGAGAGGCTTGGCTGTGACAGGGAAGAGGAGCTGATCTCAACTACCTCTCTCAAGTCAAGCTGTCAAATCATACAAAGCCATTAAAATGAAATTAGCTTAACCACATAGCTAGGCATCCAGGCTGTGCACCAGCGAAGGCGGGCTGGCATGGTGAGAGAGATGGGCGAGGCCCGCTGGAACCCTCTTTCCCTCTCGGCAGCAGTGGGCAGGGGCAGGGGGACGAACCCACGAATGGAGAGCAAACAGGCCAGAAAGACTTTGCCCACAAGATGTCTTGTGGAAATTTTATTATATAGAGTGTAAAATGAATTGTCAGTCAAATAAAAACACTTTCTTTTTTAAAAAAACCACATACATGCATAACATTTTCAATTGTCTTTTTTAATAGTTAGACATTTCAAGCATTATAAGAAAAATAAGGAGAAAAAACCAGAAACTAACTTCAGTACATTTCGAACGGAATGTCCCTCAGGTCAATTAGAAATGCAAGAAAAAATAGCCTCAATTCCGTTTTTTTCCTTTAAAATACATGTTATCTGTACAAGATACACTACAGTAAACATTGGAAATCATATTATCCCCTTTTATTAAATCAAACTTATTTAATTCATACTGAGGTTAATACTAGATTTATTTATTCATCTAGTTAATCTGACAAATATTAAGAAAATATTTAAAAGAAGAAAGCAAACACCACCTTGGAATTAAAAATAGTTAACTACGTTTTTATACGGTTTAATGTTCCACAGTGTTTGTTTAAAAGTTATACTGAATTTCTTAATATTAAAAATAACAGTATTTATATTTCTGAGAGAATAGAGACAGGTTTTTTGTGTTGTTTTAAAAACAAGCTTGGAGGTCTTAGATACACAATTGCAACTGGTAATGGAGACATGAAAAAAACGTATGCTAAACACATGAACACATTTTATATTACCCCTTTAGAACTCTAGAAATTATACAGACCCTAGAAAATGCCCCTCCCAACCCTGTCAGACAGCAATACAATTATCTGTCTCAATTCAGAATTCACATAATTAATTACAATACATAATAGTTCAGTTTTTAAAAAAATGCAATAAACCAGACAGCCAAGATACAAGAAATTAGAAGTAAAACATTTAATGAATGTACACATTTAAGAATACTTAAATACTGCTTTAAATTTTTTAAAAAGAATTTGTTACATACCACCTAAGACTTCCAAGCCACTTTCTGTTGCAACAGAAAAAACTGCAAATAAAAGGACACGAAACAAAAACAAAACCCAAGCAAAAGCTTCGTGTTGAAATGTCACAGCTCTGAGGCGCACTCTGGTGCCTGAACGTGCAGCTATGGCTCCAAAGAGAGCCCCAGAGCTTACACACTTGAAATAACAAACAAAATGATCAGCAATTTTTAGTAACTAATTTTCCCGATTTTTAGAAAAGTTCCGTTAATCTAAATATAGTGTTTCACAGAACAAAACAAAGGTTCTTCATCGAAAGGTCTGCACATCTAAAAACCTCTGTTACAAACAGGTTTTCTTTCACCATGATTCGAGGGGAAGGTGGCCGCAAGGATGCTGTCCTACTGCTCCTGTGGACGCAAGGGAAGAGGAGTTAGTCTGTGATGGCAGCTTCTGAAGTCTGGGCGTCAGTGGGGAGGTGACAGGTCACCCTCTTCCCGCTGGCTCCACACCGGCACTGGCACACACAGACAGGGCCGAGTCTCTGCACCTCCCCCGGGTCTTGCGTCACGGGAGCCGGTCCAGACAAAACCTCTGTCGAAGAGGAGGTCTTGGGCTCCTCTCTCTGCTGGGGACTCAGGGCAGGGAGGAGTGGACAGTGTGAGCCACGTTTCTCCGTCGCCACCAGCCATGACACCTGTTTCCCCAGGACTAGACCCAGAGAGCCAATTTGGCAGTGGGAGGCCCAACGAGCTGAGTCCAGGGCCAGGAGGTAACTGAAATGTTATCCACGAGGACCTGACTGGCATCAGGTGGGAAATATGCCCTGTGGGAACGTTTGGATGTCTTCCCTTCTTTAATAAGAAATCCGTTTTTGGCCTCTGAACAGAACCCTCTAGGTTCTGCGCAGGAGAGGAGAGCTGGACTGCCCCCACCCCTCCACTGCCTCCTACTGCTTCGGGGCATGGCTGACGGCCTGGCCACTCCACCCTCCTCCAGAGCAGCTGCTGGGGCACACCATTTGCACTTGGCCCTTTGCAATTAGGGAAGCTGCGGCTTAGAGAGAGACAGAGACTACTACTCAGCCCTGAGGTCTGGGACCTGGACTTGAGGAAAGATCAGGCACTTCCTCACAGGGGCTGTGCCACCAATCTCCCTACTAAACTCTTTCCCTGGAGCAAGGAGGGTCAGAGGGGCTGGAGCTGGGCTCTCAGCAGAGACAACCTCGCTGAGGAGCAATGGGCCCAGAGGCTCCTCCTAGCCCAGTGCTCTCACCCTGGGGTCAGAAAACAGGAGGCTCGAGAGCAGGGGCTTGGGGCTTGGGGCTTGGGGCTTGGGGCTGGGGAGTGGTGCGGTGCCAGTGATTAGCTACAGACCTGGCTATGGGCCTGTGCCTGTCCTAATGTCTGCCCGTAGAAAGCGACCTGCTGTCTGTAATATTCCGCCCAGGCCATTGTGTAGTCCGGCGGGGAGCTGGCCTGAGGAGCCGTGCTGGCGGCGTGACCTGGTTGACAAAGGAGGAAATGCAGGTTAACGGGAGTGAGGGTGCACGGGGCAGGGGCCCTTCCTGAAGGCCCTGGGCATCCACTCTCTGGAGGCTCTCCCTCCGGATGCCGGTAGGTAGGAAGGCCGGGGGGCGTGCGGTGCGGTGCAGCTGGTGCTGCAGGAGTGCTTGCTACAAAAGGTGCTGTTAGCCTTTGCTGCTGGCCCTGCTCCGCCTGTGAAGACCAATCCTCACGCCTGCCTTCTCTGTGGAAGTGCATTCTCCGCATCTGCCTGCCTGCCCCATCAGCTCCCAGGGGCCCATGACAGAGAGAGAAGGGGGGATTCTGGGGTTGGGGGTGGGGAGAACAGGAGTGCCTAGCCTGGGTGCCTGTGATGGTGTCCAAATCCTGTGAACAGCTTGAAACACAGGCCCAGTGTTGTCTGGGAACTGGGATTTGGGGAAGACAGGGCAGCTGAGCTTGCACCAGGTCCCCCGGTGACAATGACTCAATACTTCCACCTCCAGCCCCTAGAGAAGCCACGAACCCGGCGATGATTCCAACACTAGGGGGACCATTTCTCTGGTGGCCTTCAACCCCATCTCTTCTAACCAGCAGGAAACACCCTCCAGACACCAGGCATACGAGATTCCTCTTTAAACAAGACCCCAGGTCCTCCGGTCTAGTCACTGTAGAATCGGTCCAGAGTCTGGTACTAATTTTAGATGACTCCCCGGAGACCTTCGGCTTGCCGGGTCCCTTGCCCTGCTCCGAAGGCTGGTTTCGTTTCTGGTAATTAGAAAATGGGCCTACTTAAGAGGAGAAACTAAGCACCCAGCTCCAATGCCCATGTGAGGCCCCCTTCCCTGAGTCTCCACCTCTCTTCTCATCTGCCCTGAAGCACCGAGACCCAGAACAAGACGCTTGGGGGTCTGTCTGCTGGCCAGGCAGCACCAACCGGAGTTGTTCCATCCCTAAGGGTTCCACACTTTCAGGCGCCATGCCCACCTCTAAATGCCGCCGGACCCAGCAGGGAGAGAATGGAGGAGAGGATGGCAGGTCTGTGCCGGGCGGCAGGGCAGCCTGCGGTCACTGACTGACTATGACTGGGCTCCCAACAGACAGGCAGGCAGGCGCCGGGGTGCAGGGTGAAGAAACAATGAGCTCAAGGCACACGGGGAAGGCAACAGCGAGCCTTGGACTATGAAGTCTGCGGGTTGGAGGGGACTCTGCTGCCGGAGCCACATGTGAGGAGGGCCGGGCACTCACTCTGCTTTTTGTAATAGTCTTCCCAGGCCTTGCTGTAGCTGGGCTGGCTGCTCTGCGGCTGGCTCTGCTGGCCTGTGCGAAGAACACAAAAGCAGTCAGGCCTTCCGACTCCTCAGCCTCGGCCCCGGCCTGCCGACTGCAGGCCCTGCCCTGTACTCCTCCACCTCACTCCTGGCCACACACGGCTCCACAGCCCTGCCTGGGAAGGAGGTAGCAGCTGGCAGGGCTGGGAGGAGGGTGTAACAAAGATCACTGGGGCTGGGCAGATGGGCAGCCCCTCACAAGACAACCAGAAGACTAGGCTGACCCCCTTCAGATGGAGACTCGAGCTGTGGGTCCACAGAGGGGGTTCAAGGGCCACAGCCACCACTGTTCTGGGGCTCCCCAGTCAGCCTTCCAAAGGACAAAGACTCCAGGGGCTGCTGACCACGCTCTTTGCCTGGCCTTCTGCTGAAGGGCTGGGGGCTGTGCCTCTGGACCAGTGGAAGTAGAGGGGCCACTTGGTGCAGGAGTGTGCAGTACCAGTGGGCTCCGGGACCCTGCCTGGCCTCAGGCCATGCTGGGGACGGGGAGAGGGAAAGGGGATGAACGTGTGGGGTGGTCCCGCCCTTCTCTTCCCTGCAGGACCCTGGGTTCACCCGCTAGGCTGTGTGGGCAGTGAAGACTGTGGGAGGTGGAGAAACAGCTGGCGTGGGGGAACAGAGCCTCAGCACTCTGCCAGGAATAAGAGCGGTTTCAAAGACTTGACCACAGCAGTGAGTCAGAGTCAGGACCTTTCCTTCTGCCCAGGTTGGGGCTGGCTCAAATGTTCACCTGTCAAGGCTCACAAAAGACCCCTTCACTATCCCTTCTCCGGTGAGGACTATGGCCTGAAGCAGGCAGGAAGGACGAGCCACTGCAGAAACGCACAGCTGAACGCTTTCTCCGCTAGTTCACTTACTGCAGGCTGAGGAGGAGTGTGGGAAGAAGCACGCAGGGGGAGTCAGAAGGGAAGGAGACACCCCACTTCCTCCCACAGGGGCAGGACGAGGGAGTGACAGGCAGCAAACACTCTTCCCTCAGACACGGAGCAGCAAGCAGGACTCTGCTGCCAAACACTATTCCACCAACCCAACCAGTTGTCAGCCACAAAGCCCCTGAACAAACCAATGAACCACGCTCAACCACCTGAGACGAAGGCTGTCTGACCGTGGCAGGACCACCGGCGGCTCCTGTGCACCCCCTTCCTCTTCCCACAGGCTCCAAAGCTGGCAAAGCTGGCAGCACCCCCCTCAGGGAACCATTTCCCCCAAAGGCCTCCCAGGCCCCAGTGTCTCCAGAGTCAATCCTGGCCGCCTTGCTGCCTGGAGGATTCCCTCACACAAGAACAGCACCCAAAGGCCGTGGCACCATGAGCGCAGCTCCCACCAAGAGGTCAGAGGCAACGAAGCAGGGCTGGACACCATGGAGAAGCAAGCAGAGGGGAAGGGAATGGTGGGATCTGGGTGGTGTGTAGGTGCTCACTGTGGAGCATTCGATGATGCCTGAAACATTTTGTACTAAAATATTGGGGAAAAAGGGAAGGAACCCAACTCTACAATTTCAGAGCCCAACTCTCCACTTTAGAATTCACTGCCAAGCCCTTCCTTTCACATGTGACAAGTGGAGCCCCAGAGAAGGTGACATGTGCCTGAGGCCACACAGCACTGGCCTCAGGGCTCTGTGAAAGCCTGAGTGGCAGAACCCCAGAAAGGGGGCTCAGGCCCTCTGAGCCAGACTGTGAGGCAGGGCCTGCAGCCTGGGTGCTGTGAGAATCCAGACACTGAAAAAGGCTTTCCAGACACAGATGGAAACTCAGATGGGTCAAGAGAACCTGGCTGGTACTAAGGTAAGGGTTGTGCTTTGCTTTGTGAAGGCCATGCCAGAGCGGCCAGACCAGCTCTGAAACCCAGCGGTGGCTCCTGAAGCTGCTGTGGGGACAGAGTGGGCAGTCGCTCTGATTCCCACCAGAACTTTCTCCTTCACAACCATTTTCCCTGGACAGGCAGTATGCAGCAGAGGGCATTCCCTAACTGTTTGCTTCTGAAAAGTTCAGGAGACGGAAGCTCGAGAGGGGAGAGGAAGGCAGCCACCCAAAGCCGGGGGAGGGAACTGGGGGGCCCTTCTCCACCAGAAGAGGAGGGGCAGAAGCTGGCTCAACCCATACCCACAGCCCACCCATGTGCGGGGAACAAGAGTGCCAGAGGCCCAGAGCTCTGAGGAGGACAGGTGGGCTGAGAGCCAGTCCAGAGTCCCCAGCCCGCCTGAGGTTTGTGCAGTTTCCCTCACAAACATGGGGCCTTTCTCTGAGCATGTGCACCCCCGAGTATAGGCTGCGGGCGGCCCCAAGCCCCACCCAGGGGGCTCCTTATCATTTGGGAGGGGCAGACTGGGCCTGCTGATTGAGTGGGGGCGTTTCAGCCCCCTGACTTCCGTGGGCCCCAGCCTTTCTGCAGGGCATGCACTGCACTGCACTCCCCACCCTGATTCACTTACTTGGGACCTGCTGTGTGGGCTGCTGCCATGCCTGGTAGGTGCTGCCCCAGCCCTGGGTCAGAAAGGCCGGAGGACCACTGTGGATGACAGAGAGTCACTCGTTCCTGTGGATGTCTCCCTCTTCACTGCTCACCTCCCTCACCCCAGCCAGGCATCACCAGACCCTTGCCTGTTGGCAGCGGCCAAGTGATGACCCTAGTCCCATCTGCCCCCAGCTGAGTCACAGCAGGTCACCTACCTCACGGGGGTGCTGTGGGGGTTTCCGTTCACCTTGGCAGCCATGTTTGGGAAGCACCCAGAGCTCCTTGGAGGAAAGGTGCTGGGAAAAGGTGAAAGAAACACCATGCAACTGAGCATCCCTCAATGCAGGGCTAGGCCCCTCCCCTCAGCCCCAGGCATTGAGCTCTCCTCCAGGGGCGGTGGGACAGGAAGACCTTCTGTCCTCTGGAGGTTCCCACCCCATTGCTGAAGTCAGTGAGTGATAGGCTGAAAGGACCACCTGTGAGAGGAAAAGAGACGAGTCCTGCCCACACCCAGAACTTCAGGCCCTGGCTAGCCCTCCCTAGAAGGAGCTGGAAAGGACAGTGGATCTCTTGGGAGCAAGTGAATTATCCCAGGCAAGGCTGACGCAAAAGACTCACTTTTGATGAGGTGGGGCAGGTGGCTGGCTGAAGGGGCTCTGTCCAAAGGCTCCAGGTGCTCCAAGGCTGGTCCCCTGTGGCGGCACAGAGGGAGCTCTCACCCGCTGTTGGCAATACAACTCTGCCCTCTGCCCAGGCCCACCCCAAGGCAAACCCCAGCATTTGTGGGGCTGGAGTTGAGTGAACTAAGGGCACCTGTGCACTCACACTAGCCTTCCTTCCCACAACAGGCTGTATTTGCAGAGATGGCTCCTGCCCTCCAGTGACAAATACCACCACACAGCTAATCCTGACACCACCACAGTCGTCCTGGCACATCACCCTGGGGGTAGGGACCAACCTGCTTGACTCTCCCGTCAACTTAGGCTGGCCCAAGGCTCTTTCTGCCATTCTATGTCCCCATTGAGGTGAGCAGTGGCCCATCTGTCCTCCATCAATACTCCCTTTCTTTATCTGCCTTGAGGTGCCTGAAACTAAAGCCAGAGTCAATGAAAGCTGCCTGCTGGGCTGGCCGCCAGGGCGATGCCAACAGAGTCCCGGGGCAGTGCTGGTGGGGAGGCTGCTGCCCCAGCTGCTCATATAAGCCTGCAGGGGACAGTTCTGGGGCCTGGGCTGCTGCAGTCTTGGTGCATCCTGCCAGGATTCCTTCCTTGCTTCTGGGCCTGGCTCTGGCACTCCCTGGGTTGCCGACCCTCCTCCTCAGCAAAGCAGGGGAGGGCTGCCCTCGTGTGATATGAGAACCAACAGGCGCAAGCACAAGCCTGAGGGAGAAGCTGGTACCCTGGACATCCAAAAGAAAACAGCTATGATTAAGCCGGTGGAGGAAGGACCTGGTACGTACGCCAACTTTCTCGTCTATGAGCTGCCTGGCCACCTCGATCTGCTGGGGAACCCCCCTGATGGTGAATCTCCGAAGGTTGGGGTCGCTGTTGGGAGGGGGGTTCCTCTGGAGCTCCACATGCGCCCCTGACTGCTGGTTGATGCTTTTGATGTTCTCGCCCCCTGCAGACAGCACAACACAGACAGAAGAGTAAGCAGCCACTGGGGCAACCCCTGAGGCCGTGGGGCACTTCAGGCCAGAACAGGACTCGGGGGTATTTTCTGCATGTCAGCACTTGCCCTGACAGTAGAGAACTACTCTCTACTCTAAAGTGGTTCTAACAAAACCAGGGCTCTCTCACTTGCAAAACTAGCTGGCTGGAGTGAAGCTGGACTTTTTCTCAAAGCCAAGCTGAGGCCGATGCCATGTGGCACCTCTCTGTGGATGCCCACGTGTGAGCTGAGGCCTGTGGGTCCACACATGGCGCTCACCCTAGGGGCCAGCTGTGGGGCTCCCGCCCATTTGGGAACAGCACTGCCCTGCTTAGCACAAGAACGGTGACTGAAGGGCCCCTCCATGGCACAACTGGGGCCTTGAGCCTGGCTGTGGGCAACTTTTTCCACAGGCCAAAGAGATGACCACAGGCTCCAACCATGCCTGGAGCCCACCTGGGCCTTTAGTATCTGACCCTTCTCAAGACTTTGCCTCCTCCAAGGGGTGATGGGTCTGGACAGGCAGTGCAAGGATGGGGTGGGGGTCAAAGAGGCCTGGGTGGAACAGAGCTTATGAAAATTTAGTTGGTCTCTTTCAAAAATCTGTGAGAGTCTCAGTCTCTTAATGAAATTTGCGTAATAAAAGCTCCAGCAGCTAACAATGGCTGGATTCTTCTTCTGAAGAACCTGCAGATCTGCTTGATCTGCTCTGCTCAACTCCGCGGGGGATGGCTTTTGTTAGGAGCTAGCATACAAAGATAACTTGGAGCAGAGTTTGGCAAAAGTGGAGAAAGAGGCAATCCATCCATTCCAAAGCTGGTAAAGGGCAGCAGTGAGCTGCAACGATCAACAGCAGAGACCAGGTGCCAGTGTCAGCCATTCCTCCCTGCCCAGTCAAAATGGACCCTAAAGGCCATGCGCCGCCTCCCCGAGACACCTCCACAACCATCCAAACACTCCAAGCTTCCCTCCACGCACTGCCAGAAAAGCCCCACCTCAACAACCTATCAGGCCAGGCGGGAGGGGAGGCTAAGGGCAGACATAAGCTGCCTCTTGGCAGGACTCTACAGGGGTCAAGGAGTGAAAAAGGAGACCCAGGCAGGTGGTTCTTCCTGACGGTAGCGGGAGCAGCCCTTATAAGGGAGGAAAGACCCAGGAGACCTGGCATGCAGATAAGGTCGCGTGCAGAAGAGGTCAGTTAAGTTTAGGGTGGTTTGAAAAAAAAAAAAAATCAACAAAACCAAATGTTGTGCTTGTGACTTCCGTAAAGTCCGGCTGAGTTCCGGAGAACCCTCCCTACATTTCCACCCTGGCCATCCCGCCTCTTCCTGGGGGCACACCAGGCCAATGCCCACAGCTCTGATTTGCCTCTGGGCCAGTGTGAGCTCCTCCTGGGGAATCTTTACTTCTGCCCTTTACTCAGAAGCCATGGATTTTATCTTCTTTGCACCATGAAAAGCAGGCTCCTACGCAATGGTTTTTGGAGAGCAATAAAGAATAGGAACTTGGCTGAGTGTGGTGGTAATCCCAGCACTTTGGAAGGCCAAGGCAGGCAAATCACCTGAGGTCGGGAGTTCGAGACCAGCCTGGCCATCACGGAGAAACCCCATCTCTATTTAAAATACAAAAGTAGCCGGGCATGGTGGCACATGCCTGTAATCCTAGCTTCTCAGGAGGCTGAGGCAGGAGAATTGCTTCAACCTGGCGGGTGGAGGTTGCAGTGAACCAAGACAGCGCTAGCCTGGGCAACAAGAACAAAACTCCATCTCCAAAGAAAAAAAAAAAAAAAGAGACTAAAACGGAGACCATTTTCACAGGCACACCTAAGACTCGAGGGAATGCTACCAGCCTCCAGCCAGATTCACTTGGTCTGGAGGCAAAAGCACAAGGGAACAAGTGTCTGATTGAGAGCCCTGGGGTCCCCAGACAGCTGAGGCCCCAGCCCTCATTGCTGGGTCCTGAGACCCTCGTCCCCAGGCCTCGGGAGCATGATAATAAGGTGAGGAGGTGCTACAAAACCTCTTGGGGCCAGAAGGAGTTAATTTAAGTTCATCTTCCTTCAAAATGAGGTCACTAGCTTGGCACATGGTGGCTGTCTATAGACTCATTCAGTAGCCTGCTCCATTCTTCTACCTGACCGGGGGCAGAAGCGCCCCACCAGTGGCCCCCTGACTGGATGTGAAATCGTAAAGCAATTAATCAAACCTGCAAAAAGGCCTGGCTGACAAGAGCAGGCTGGCTGCGCTATCTGTCAATGTTGCTGTGTTTATCATGGAAATCCAGCAGGGGCCAGGGAGGCTCCGTGTCTGTCCAGGCCAGAGGCCAAGGAAAGCTGGGTCTGACTGTGTGGGGCTCCTTTCTCCCTTGCCCAGGCGCCTATCTCAAGGAAAAGAGATGCCTCACAGGGGCCCCGAGGGGGTGTGTGTGTGTGTGTGTGACATAGAAAGCCTCACCCACATCTGAGACATTTATTAGAGTTGTAGACTGCTATTCAAGGATGGGACACAGTATCAGTGACTGTCTCATTCTCGTCACTGTCTTCTAGGAATCACTCAGGATGACTTTGTGGAAAACAAACTACGAGGGGCTCTCTGTCACACCAGGGGCTCACTATGAGGACCTGTCATGGCGAGGCAACGACGCTCGGTCAGGGTGTAGAGACACAAACAAATGAAAACTTTGCTGACAAAATGATTTGCAAAAGGCCAAGAAAGCTGGATAGCTAATCGTCAACCTGCAGGGATCGACTAGCTGCAGTCTCACAGCAGTCAGGCTGATGGCCTGCACAGTGTGCGACTCCTGGCAGCCTCTGGTGCAGCCTGCAATATCCCTGAAACACTCATCAGCCAGCAAAAGAACACAAACCCATATTGTTCCTACCAGCTCTGAATGGTTCATCATCTAAAAGACAACATGGTTGCTTGCATTTTGCAAGAGCATAAAACCCAGTGTCCATGAGCAGGGACAAGGACAGCTCCTGGGTGGTGAGTGTGGGGGGTCTCCTGCCCTGCTCAGCTCTGGAGGTCTCTGCTGGTGAAGCATCCTCAAGTCTTGCCTATGAAATACAAGCACACCTCAAGCAGCTAAGAGGTATTTGGTGATCAAAGAAATCTGAGAAACTCTGGAAAGAAGACTATTTTCTCCACAGGCTGTCAAGTACTTAACGAAGGCAAATACGAAACCCAGCGACGACTGGAGTCCCCCGCTGACATTGAGGCCTGGCTCAGAGCCCCACGGAAGCCGAGCCCTGCTGCCATGCTGGGGAAAGGCCCCACAGCCTCGGCCCTGGTCTCAGCAGCCTTTCTGGGTCCCAAGGATGACCAGAATGAACTGCTGCCAACAGCTGAGAAATATGCCTGTTCTCTCTCCTGTTTCTCAGTGAAGACCTGGAAGGAGCTACAGTAGCCATGAATGAGGGTTTCCTTCTAATGTCAACAAAATGCCTAGAAACAACTAATAAAATGTTTACCTGCTCACAGAGCAGCCATGATTAAAAAAAAACAAAAAAAAAAAAAAACAGTTCTTATCCTTTTATCCTGTAGAAAGGATAGAAACCATTTTCCCATGTTGTGCGGACCAAGACCAAATACTGAAATCCGGCAAGGGAAAGAAGCGACACACTGTCGAGAAGGAGTTTTCACCGAGGACATGGTCTTAACCGTCCCTCCAAGTTCCGTGGAGGTGAGTTAATCACCAGTAGATCGACGAAGGCCCCCATCTTGTGCAGGGTATTTTTTCACCAACCCAAGCTGCCTCAACAGGCAGGGGGTTTACTGTTGTCTCTCCTTACGCACAGCGGAAAATCCAGTTTGCTCCTCACAACAGGCCCATCAGCGGCCTCAGAGAACCACGCCAAGCAGGCTTTTGGCAGAAGGCAGCTACTGCCCCAGACCGGGCAGCCCCAGCCTGTGGCTGCAAGGCTGCAAAGGGACTTCCCCGCAGGTTCTGGAGGGCCATGTGATCTGCCTTCCTTTGAGCCAAACAGCTGGAGGGGGTTGTGAAACCGCAGCTGCCTCTTACCTTTGCCTATGACCAGGCCACACTTATCAGCTGGCACTGTGTATGTTATCTCCTGGACGCCACCAGGGGCTCCCACGCTCCAGTCGCCACGGCCACGACCTCTTCCTCTGGCTACTGCCAGGCCTCCAAAGCCATCTCTTTCCTGGAAAGATCACAGGGCTCTAGTGACTGCCACTGCCACAGCACCACTGCTCCCCTTCTCCAGGGAGGAGGTGAAGTGACAGGATGTAATCAATGCCGCTCATTAGAACCTAGCACCTTTCCACACTTCCGATTCTGAAGGGCTCTTTCCAACCAGAATGAATACCAATCACAGGTGCATCCGGGGAGGACGTGTGCAGATGCACGCAGCACATGGTTACAAGATCAGTTCAAATGTACCCAGATACAAACTCCAAGGCTGAAGCCCAGTGGCCTTTTCCTGGAGCTTTCCTCACTGGAATCAAGAGCTGGTTTTTCCCTTGCAGCTGAGGCCGCTCTTTCCTGTGGGGGACACATGCTGGGTCTATGGGAAGTCAGGTGTGTGCAGCTTGCTGACTCTCCCCAACCTGGCACTGCTGTGAGTCACGACACCTGGCACTCCAATAAGCAAGAAGGAGGAATGGATTTTATTCTTGGTTGTTGTGCCCTCAAGCAGCAGCAGCAGCAGCAGCAGCAGCAACAGCAACAGATTTAAGAGTGAGCATTCAGGGCTACTTCAGAAGGGAGAGACGAGGGAACCAGCCAGGGCCTCCTCTCCACGGGAGAAGCCTCTGAGTCATTCTCCCACTGTTCACCCAGCGCACAGAAAAACCTCAATCTAACACCTGGCAGAGGAAGAGTCCTTTCATTCGGAAGGCAACAAGTCTCATTCCAGCTGCTGTCCTCTGAGTCATTTTGGAGCTGCAGTATTTAAACTCTTTTAAACGTTGAAGGTGAATCTGTAAAGCTAAGAGCTATTTTGTGGAAAGGAGAAGCTGCACAGACTTTCAACACACTGAAGAAATTTTGGCAAAACCTGCTCACGTTGACTAAGAGTAAACTTTACCCAGAATCTAAATCAGCAGAAAGCTGAGGTAATTGGAGTGCTTTCCCCCCACATTCTGCTTTTAGGAGAGACAACTGCCAAGTAAACAAGGCGATTTTAGGAATTTATGTTCACACATGCACACGAGCGCACAGCCAACTTTCTGGGCATGCCACAGATCTTGAAGACGAGCTTCTCTCCTAAACATCTCAGCCTCTGCAGCTCAAGGTTCATAAACTTTTTTTTTGAGATGAAGTTTTGCTCTTGTTGCCCAGGCTGGAATGCAATGGCAGGATTTTCGCTCACTGCAACCTCCGCCTCCCGGGTTCAAGCAATTCCCTGCCTCAGCCTTCTGAGTAGCTGGGATTACAGGCATGCACCATCACACCCGACTAATTCTGTATTTTTAGTAGAGATGGGGTTTCACCATGTTGATCTCCAACTCCTGAACTCAGGTGATCCACCCGCCTTGGCCTCCCAAAAGCGCTGGGATTACAGGTGTAAGCCACCACGTCCAGTTAATTTTCTATTTTTAGTAGAGATGGGGTTTCGCCATGTTGGTCAGGCTGGTCTCGAACTCCTGACTTCAGGTGATCTGCTCGCCTTGGCCTCCTAAAATGCTGCGATTACAGGTGTGAGCCACTATACCTGGCCAAGGTTCATAAACTGTCACAAAAAAGGATGTTACAGATCATTTAGAGCAGGGTTGCCCAATCTTTTGGCTTTCTTGGGCCACAATGGAAGAAGAATTGTCTTGGGCAATCCCATAAAATACACTAACACTAATGACAGCTGATGAACTAAAAAAAAAAAGCCCTAAAAAAGATCTCATAACGTTTTAAGAAAGTTTACGAATTTGTGTTGGGCTGCGTTCAGTGTTGTTCCTGGGTCATGTGTAGCCCGTGGGCTGAACAAGCTTGATTTAGTGGCTGTTTTATAAACCGAAGAGTTGCCTGGGTCTCTAGTTAAGACCCAAGACCCTCCCCTGGAAATTCCAATTCAGCAGATCTGGGGTAGGGGCCTACACATTTGTGATTTGAGTAAGAACCACCAGATGGCTCTTAGGGGATCACAGGGAGAGCACTGCCTGGTAAAAAGCCTGAGTGGGCTGCTGAGAACACCAGACCCAGGGGTTCAAAGGCTGCTCCAAGGTCACATGACTGATGTCAGAGCTGGGAGTATAATTTCCAATCTCTTGCTTTATTCTTCAGTTCTGGTCATTCTCAGATTTATCCTCAGTCCTCTGCCATCAGTTACAGAGGTTCCTAGCACCATCACACAGGCTGGCTCACAGTCCAAAGATGTGCATGAAATCTGGTGCATAAAGGCAGCTTCAGGACTTTGGAGGACTGTGAAGTGCTTTCTACCTCTAGGACTGGATTTCGCTTAACATAGTTTAACATTAACTACACTTGATTATCTGAAACTTGGTGGTCAATCTGCATGGTATTTCCCCACATAGTTTAAACAGCTAGAAACTTACTGTGTAAAGGCAATCGAGATGCTGAGGTAAATGAGGTAGAAGAGTAATTAACGAGCAGAAAAAAAAAAACTCATGAAGGCGGGAAAGAGGCTGATGCAGAGAAACTGCTGGCTTCCAAAAACTTGACTTGCACCATCTCTGGGCGACTGCTCTGTGGTGCTGCCTGGGGAGCCCCAGGTAATACTTTCCACTTCTGCATTTGAAATACTTCAGTTCCACAGAGCTGGACCCACCTGGGCTGTAAGAATCAGCTCGTTGATGATGTGCGCTGCATGCTGACACCGATCGGGAGGGCCCATGACCTGTGCAGCTCTTTCTGGACTAATCCCATCGTCTGAGGAGCCAGGTAAGAGACAGGATTAGAAAAAAGCCCAACGTTAGAAGGAAACAAAGGTTAATCTGATTCCCAATCAATACTCTTCCCCGCAGTGCCAAAAGGGGCAACAGGAATATCACCAGCTCCTGGGACTCTTTGGGAGTGATGAGGTTGATAGGAAAATGTGTGTAATTATATCATTTGGCATGTTTCTGGTCAATGCTCAAATCTTATGCAGTTATAACCATTTAAAAAATATATCATTAAAGAACTAAAACAAAACTTGACTTTGAAAAAGCCAAGGGCAGTGGAGTAGAACTATGGCAACAGTTCCCAGAAATCAGCCTGCCATGTTTTCCTCCTTTCAGACCATGTGGAAAATTTTGCTCATAAAGGCAAATTTATAAAATTTAAAAACCTGTCCTTTATTGTAAGATGCTTTGTCTTCTTATGTGGGTTTAAATTATCTCCAATTTAATAAAATCAAAATTATATATATATTCAAATATATATATTTTAATATTTATATATTTTTAATACTTATATATATTTAAATAAATAAATATATATATATTTAAATTCTACTTGGCAAAATCAAAAGCTGACATACTATGCATTCTACTAGTCCAAGAAAAAAAAGAAAGGCCTGGAAATCATCCTGGAGAAAGGTGAGCACCATACATCCAGGGAGAGGAAGGAAGGGCAGGAGAAGATGCTCAGATTGGTAATCTGGCAGCAGATTCCTGTTGCCAGGAAGAGAAAGGTGAACACACATGAACCGGTAGCCTTGTTTTGTTAGGTGTTTTATCATCCTTATAACACTAAGGATTTTTTAATAATCAAAACCCACCTGGTTTAAACTGGATCCTCACACCAGCATCATTCTGGATCTTTTTGATCATTTCCCCGTTTCTTCCTATTACAATCCCCACAGCAAACCTAGGCACAGACACCTAGGTAGAGAGAAACCAAACCTCATCAGAACTTTTCAAAAACCTGTCTTTTTAAAGCATGCTTTTTTTTTTTTTGAGACAGAGTCTTGCTGTGTCGCCCAGGCTGGAGTGCAGTGAGGCTCAGCTCACTGCAGCCTCTACCTCCTGGATTCCAATGATTCTCCCACCTCAGTCTCCTAAGTAGCTGAGATGACAGGTGTTTGCAAATACTGGCTAATTTTTGTATTTTTAGTAGAGACAGAGTTTCATCCTTGTTGGCCAGGCTGGTCTTGAACTCCCGACCTCAGGTGATCCACCTGCCTCGGCCTCCCAAAGTGCTGAGATTACAGGCGTGAGCCACTGTGCCCAGGCAAGACACATTTTTCTTTTCTTCATGGAGGAGTCTTGCTCTGTCGCCCAGGTTACAGTGGCATAATCTTGGCTCACTGCAACCTCCGCCCCACGCCCCCACCCCACCCCTCAAGGTTGAAGCCATTCTCCCTGCCTCAGCCTCCTGGGTAGCTGGGATTACAGGCACTCACCACCAAGCCCAGCTTATTTTTGTATTTTTTAGTAGAGACAGGGTTTTGCCATGTTGGTCAGGCTGGTCTTGAACTTCTGACCTCAAGTGATCTGCCTGCCTTGGCCTCGCAAAGTGCTGGGATTACAGGCATGAGCCACCACGCCCGGCCCAGGACATATTTTTTAACACACAACTTAGTTTTTATTACAGTGCATTTCTGGAAATGATATAATAAAGGATATTTTTCCCTTTTAGGAATAATATTGTAGTTGATGACTGCATTCTTAACTGTTAAATGCATCCAATTTGAGACATGATCAAAATATAAAAATGAATAAACTTTACAGATAGATAAAAGATGAAAAGTAGGCCGGGTGTGGTGGCTCACGCCTGTAATCCAAGCACTTTGGAGGCCAAGGCGGGCTGATCACCTGAGGTCGGGAGTTCAAGACCAGCCTGACCAACGTGGTGAAACCCCATCTTTAAAATAAAATAAAATAAAAAGATGAAAAGTAGTAATCTTGCTTTCCAATAAACATACCACACACATTGATTATACTGGTAGCTCTTTTCTTTTTGAGACACAGCCTTGCTCTATAATTACCCAGGCTGGAGTGCAGTGGCATAATTGTAGCTCACTACAGCCTTGATGTCCTGGGAGGAGTGATCTCTCTACTCCTTAGCCTCTAGAACAGGTGGGACTATAGGCATGTGCCATGCCCGGCTAATTTAAAAGAATCTTTTTTTTTTTTTTCTGGTAGAGACAGTGTCTGGCTATATTGCCCAGGCTGACCTCAACCTCCAGTAGTACTCCTGCCTAAGCCTCTCAAAGCACTACAACAACTCCTTCCCCCAGCATGACGGCTTCTACTACTTTCTGTCTCTATGCATCTGCCTCTTCTAGCTGCCTCATATTAAGTGGAATCACACAGCATTTGTCCTGTATCTGTCTTATTTCACTGAGCATACCGTTCGTAAGGTTAAACCATGTTGTTGCATATAACAAAACTCCACTGTCTACACTAGATTCTGATCCTACTGCAACCTCATCAATAAACACAGGCTGCTGAGTTTGATAGAATCAGGACATACATCACCAAGAACATATGAACTTTGGTTTTTACCTGGCCAACTGGATAACCTCTAAAGCAAAACTTCAAAACCAGGGGAAATGGCCCATGCCAGGAAATGCAGCCAGCTCTCCTCACTGCAGGCTGAGTCTGACCCAGTCCACCCTCACACCTGCCCTAAGAAGTGGGCAAATTCTCAGAGGTTTTGAGACAAAAGTTAACTAACTTGCTCAAGGTTAAAGAGCTAACGGAAGTGTGACCTACAACTTTAATCCTCATCTTATTTGCCTACTAACCTGTCATTTAAGCATACCTCTATACTGCCTCCTCCCATTCGGGAGCTGAAGTCACCGCGTACACCCCGAAAGTCAGCTTGGTCTTTTTCTCGGATAATCTCTAGTACCATTTCTCTTGCTTGCTGCATAAATACAAACAAAAAGCATTATGAGAAAAAAAATCCTGAAAAAAAGATAAAACCTTTCTTGAAATTTCAAGATCAAAACCTCTTAAGCTGGGTTTAAAGATTGAGAAGGCGCGTAGCTGTAGCAGTCACTTATTGCTGATGGGACATGTGGGGGATGTGTGCATCAAATCGTAAGTGAGGTGTTCTTTATACTACCCAAATGTCCACACAGATTAAGGCTCCCCTTCTTTAAAAAGTCTCAGTTGGGTCAGCACATCTGCGTGTGATCACAAATGGATCCCTATTGCCCCTAGGTGTTTTTAAACGTTTAAATCTTTTTCTTTCTGATCAACAAAGTGGATTGACCTAGGTGTTTCTTGATGCCATTTCTTTCTAGCAGGAAGGGGTGTCTCAGAGCTCCCACTGAGGGCAGGTTCATGACTGAGAGGACTTTGTCAAGACTTCACATCACAGGGGCACTCCAGATTCAACTGCCCTTCTCCCCTAAACATGTGCTTGGTAAGTCTATCCCTGCAAGTCGGCCAGCCCATGCCAGCACCAGCAACACAGGAATCTGCACTGAAGACCTACCGTACCTTACAACTCAAGGGAATGTGAGAACTGCGTCTGGGAAGAAACAAAACAAACCCAACAGCAATTTAAATCTTAGGACATGTGGAGAAATCTGGACATGAGATGATGTTTAGAAGTCCCGTTTTCTTAGGCCTGGTTTTTCTTAGGAGACACATGCTTAAGGATTTAGGGTAGGGTCATAACATCTGCCAATTACAATGGTAAAGAAACACACACACACGCACATACACAGCAAATGTTATGCAGTTTGAAGAGCTATATAGGTGCCATAAATATAGCAGACTCCATCTCCTAAATAATAAAACAATGTGAAATACAGTTTTAAGATTTAAAAAATACTAAAACCCATTAAGTTAAAATTATTTTCCTGCAAATTTATGAAACATTAATGGTATGTTATTTGCTTGGGGTTTTTCCCTACAAAAGACACCATCAAAGGCTGTGATAGAGGAAGAAGGCCTTTGAAGGACGGCAGCTGAGACGCAGGCACTCTGTGGGCACCCCCAGCCTGTCACAGGCCTGGAGTCTGACACCATCCATACCGGAGCCCACGGCTGGACTCTGAGCAGGGTGGGGAAAGGCGAGAGGCAATCTGACTCCTTAAATACCCAACTGTTCACACTGAGAGAAGGCTGGGCACCCTGGAGGAGGCAGTGCATGGGGACTCTGGCCTGATGGAAGCGAAGGACCACATCACTGACTGGAGTCCCTGGGCAGAACCATGCCCACCACTGCCCTCACTCCTGTTCCAAAACTGTGATTTTACAGGTGTACCTTAACCAGCTTAGCTGAAGGATAGGGTTCAGAATTAGGGGAAATATTTTGCCAGGGATAGAAACCTTCACTGCTCCCAGGGAAAACCCCGATGCTCCCAGAGAAGACCCGCTGTTGATGGTGGCCTGGCTCGCCGAGGAGCATCACCCTGGAGCTACTCTGAATGTGGCAATGGCAAGACAGGCTGCAGGTGGCAGGAAAAAAGTACATTCGTGTTTCACTGAGAACAGACAAAAACTCTACACCCTCCACTCACTTGAATTCCTGCTACTAGCAAGAGTTGGAAGGACAGGACCAACCCAGGGGATTGAAAACCAAGCCCCTTACTGCTTTCAGCCAGTGGGGCTGTCTCCCCGAGAGGCTCAGGGTGCACGACACTTGCTATGAGGCTGCACAGCCATAGCCACTTGGGTGGCTCTGGTACCTGTGCTCACCTCCAACCTCAGCCGAAGGGCTTGCAAAATAAGCCCAGAAGAGAGCAGGCAAATAATAGCCAAGCAGAGCCTGCATCTAAGCTACCACAGATCAGCAAATCACAATTGCACCTGGAGGGATGATGGGTGGGGGTGGGGGGGTGAGGGGAGAAGACAACAAAAACCAGCTGCACCTGACCCATGCTACCAGCAAATGCCTGGAAATGCTGTGCACATGCACAGTTCAGAAGGCTCACCACCAGCCTCAGGTGTTACTGGGCACTTGAGATGTGGCCAGTGTAAATGAGGAGCTGTTTTTATTTAATTTGAGTGAATTTAAATAGCCACAAGTAGCTAAGGACTCTGGTTTTGGGCAGCACAAACCTAGATTATTTTCATCGCCCAACTCTGTTGAGGAAAACAGTTTACATTCGATATGGAACAGCCAGTTTCACAATGACTTGAGGAAGATAAAAGCTCTAGGTTACCACAAGTCATAGTCCCATGTCCAGGACTCACCCAACCCATGGTTTCTTTCCTACCTGTACTTTAAATGGGTCTCCAGTGATACGAAGAGGCTTGTCTGCTCCCGTGGGCAATGGGCCGTCCTGGATCATGACCATCTTCACACCTGTCCGCTCCTGTGGGGGAACACACACCAGCACAGCCCTCACTGTCATGAATAAGGATGCAGGGCAGCACAAAATGGGATCCAGTCACACCCACCATAAGCCCACATCCCACCCACCACCAGGGGCTGCCTTGCAACCTGGGCCAAAGCTGGCTTCTGTGACAGCAGACAAAGGTCGGGTAAGCCCATGTCCAAACGGGATTTGTAAAACTATCTCCTAAAATGATTCTTTCCACTTTTTCCAGTCCCTGGAGTGGTTAAGCACAAAGGAGCTACTTTTACTGAATGCCATGCACTGGGCATGCACTCCATTTCACATGATCTGATCAGAACTTCTGCGGAACTGTGCGTGAAGTCCTGCCGTCTTCCACTTCGGAGCATGCTGCCCTTGGATTCAGGGCTAATGAGTAGGGGACCACAATCTGGAGGCTGGGATCCCAAATCATAAACTCTTAGTCTACATTAGGATACCATCCTTACAACCAGGACCCAAGGACCGGGTTATGAGAGGGCACGCAAGGGAAGCCTCAGTCCTTTACTCGCAACTGCAAAATCCCTTTTAGGAAAGAAGTTTGCTTAGAACTAACATGGCAGCATAACTAAACCCATGTCATTATACCTTTTGCCTTTTTCTGAGTGTATTATTCTACTTAGCTATAGAAATACGCATTTCATTTCAGAGTACAGCCCCAGAACTTGCTGGGAGTGTCAAATTCTGAAAACTGTTTGGTTCCAAGTGTCTCAGATGAGGGATTCTGGCACTAACAGCAGCTAATGCTCATGGAGCATTCACTCACTAATAGGCTCTTATATAAAAAGAAAAGAACAGGGATTATTTCAGCTCCATCACAACAGTGAAGCTAGCACTTGCTCCTTTTGACACACAAAGACCCTGAACCTTCAAAAAGTAAATGAGCACATTTAAGACCAACCAATTAGTAAGGAGGAATGCTGGGTCAGGGCCCCTCCCTCCAAACATGGCAATTTCGTCTGAGATGCGGTCCTCTGATGATAAAAGCAGCCTTCACAGAGCTTACTACCAAAAAGGCTGCTCAAAGTTCACAGGGGCCCCTGCTAGGACACACCTGGCCTAGTACTTGGCATCAGGCATGGCCATGGTATATGTTCAGAAGCTGTCTGTCAAACGGAGGAAGCAAGCCTCAGCTGCACAAAGCCAGCCCCGCCAGGGAATGCCGGCCGAGAGCAGATCTCCTGGGCCTGGAAGCTGAAGAACCGCTGAGGACGGCCGCCATGCTCCAGGCTCCGGGCTCACATACCTGCAACTGCTTGATTGTTTCCCCTCCTCTGCCGATGACAAGACCCACTTTAGATGCGGGAATGAGAATCTCCTGGATTGTGCTGTTGCTGTCTATGTCATTATGAAAGCCAGGTCCATTTCGACAGCGGTCCACAATCTGCCCCAGGAGTCGTTTGGCTTGTCTTTGGGAGGGAAAAGAACCACAAGAGAACCAGCATTAAAGAAGACTCTGTGTGCAAGACAGGCAAACAGCACTGAGGGAAAACCTGAGGGAGTCAGGGCAGCCCTCCATCCAGCTCCAGCTCCTGCCCCCACAACCCGGAGGTCTCTCTGCCATCCGCCACGCTACTGGGCTGGAATTTAAAAGCAACACACACCACAGTACCAACGCTGCGACACAGAGCCGTGATGAGCGGGCTACTGCCAGACCCCACCCCTTTCAAGCCTGCCCTCTGCTCAAGCTTGTGCCTCCACAAACGTGTCGTCTCCTATTAGGATAACAGCTGCTCTGGGGGCAGAGACCATCTTTTACCCCGTTACATCTCTGTTCCAACATGATCCTTCTCACAGAGTATACTCAATACATATTTGTTAAATAAATGCAGGCAGGAGAGACAGCCAGCAATGAGAAAGATGGGAAGAAAGAAAGCACGGATTAGTACTCACTGTCTGAACTCCCATACCCCACGCTTCTTCATAACCAACGACACTGCTCTATGACTTTTAAGCTAAGGCTACGAATCCCAGTTTGGTTCCAAGAGGTGGGAAGGGGGAGGCGGTGCGGCATGCAGCTGCGCACTCAGACACCTGCTTGGAGCTTTCCATGTCAGCCAAGTTGGGACCCCGCATGTCACGTGTCCTGCTATTTGTGTTGATTTATTTGGCAGTGGGGGAGGGAAACTGCAATGTTGCAGCAGCACAACCCAGACTACCAGAGTCATCTGTTGTGCCAATTTCCTTTTCTGCACCAGAATTTCTCCTGGCTGTTATTTCTCCTATTTATTCTCTAAATTGCCACACACAATCTGCTTTTTGGCTTCTCTAATGGAGAAGAATTCAGCTACTAAACAGGCTGGCTGTGCTGCTCACTGAAGAAAATGCAGTTTGTTTCCTCCTAAAGTTAGAATCCCACTGCCTCCGCTCCTTGGGTAGACACGAAGCAGGAATGATTAGAAGAGTAGGAAGAAAGAAGAGAAAGGCAGGAAGTAGATGTTGCCTTTCATAGTGTTGAGCCTTTGTGCACAGAATCAGCTTCGTGTATCTTCTCAGTTACAGCAGCTTTTTAATATTTTGCTAGTGTACTAGATTAACCTGTGTTGGAAGAAAAATGCCTTGACTCCAGCAAAACCATCCAGCTTGCCCTGTAATGCACACCTGCCAGCAATATTTATTCTGGTTCACTGCTTGCAATGTGATGACAGAACAAGAGAATTTAAACTCATCTAGACTCCCTGAGAAGTGGAAACAATAAAACAACCCTACCTATTGAGCCAGATATAATCTTAGCACCCCGTCCCCAAATGCAGTGCTGCTCCGTAGACTGAAGAAGGACAGCGAGCAGGCTCTAAGGCAGTGCGTTCCCTTTTCCCGGGAGATTCTTGGATTTAAGAGGCCTGCACCTGGCACAAGGTTCCAAGCATGTGAGTAACAGAGTAGGAAAGCAGTGTTAGTCTTATGGCTGTTGCAAGGGCGCCAAAAGGCACGACATCCTCTGGCCAGTCTGTACGGCCCTCTGAGTAGAGCAAAGGTCATGAAGAGTTGATTCATTTGGTTCACAAATATCCGAAGGGTAACAGGATCAGCCCCAGCCAAACCAAAAGACCTGGTACCAGGATTCTCAGTAGTTCACCAAGTGACTGACTTACTAATCCAGACCTGCTCAGGTGAAGGTGTTAACAAGGAAGAAGTAAGTTGATTAGAGCATTCAGGTGGGGTGAATGGACACTCCTGAGACCCTGGTTTGAAGGAGATGTTGACAGCTGTGGGGTTTAGAACAAAGGTGACACCTCATGGATTTAAGGTGACAGAAAAACCCCTGGCACAGTAACCTCCCAGATTTTCTTCCCTAGAGAATTATTTGCCTGTGTGGCCAGACTGCAGCACAGATTGACAGTGTTCAATAACAGTGTTGCCCTTCCATTTCTCCCCATTTGGGGAAGGAGGAAGAAGAGTGAAAGAAAAAGTAAATAAAATAAACTTACTCAATACTTTCTGGGGTTCCGGTAAGTACACAGGGCCTCTCTGGAATCCCAGAACTCTCTATAAGAAGAATCAAGAAGATGAGGGGTGTTGGTGGGCATTGGGCACATGCACCTCTGCCCTGTACAGACTGTCTCTCTAGGGGCTTCCTATGCCAGCCCCACAGAGGCCCAGGCTCCCAGAAAAAGACAGTTTGCTTCCATTTGTGGACAGAATATTAAGCTGGTGGCTCCACCCTAGGTTCTTGAAGTAGAAACAAGTCCCACAGGGAAGCCGGAAGGACACAACAGAGGTTTGAGTTGGTCCTGATACGTCTCAGTTTCACTTCTGACCCACTCGCATGCTAGTAGTTGTTTAAGTGACTTTATTGTGCTATTTCTCAGTCTCTCCATCTGTAGTTTAATGGTCATTTGTCTAATAAGCTAATATGCTTATTATCTGTCTAATAGCTAATAAGCTAGTACACTAGGAAGGAACCTAATGACATACACATCAGGACCAGACCAGTTACTGCATGAATGTCCCAAGAGATCAGTGACATCTATGTGGAACTGGGCCACTTAACATGAGAAACACATTACTTTCCAACACCACACATGATGCTTCATTTTGTTTCTAAAAATTTGCTTCTTAAAATCCTTCCTCAAAAAAATAAAATAGAAATAGCTAACGGGAGTTACTGCCTCCAAGACACTGTAGTAAGTATCTTTTAAAATGACAAACATTTCCCTAGCCAAATGTCCTTCAAACTCCTTCCTCTGCAATGGAAAGAGGTCAAACTCAAATTAGATGATAAAACCATAAATAAAACGAAAATTGTTCTTCACTCCATCTCTCTCCATATTGCATGGTCAAACAGACCAGCTAGGAAAGGTCCTAAAACATGTTCAGTGAGTGCTAATTCAGCCAGGACCCCCAACTATCCTCTTCCCAAAAAGGGAAGGGACAGTCACATTCAGGGGAGCCAGCGTGCAGTCAGGGAGTGACCCCAAAGCCATAGGATTCCTACAGGTCCCACTATGCCACTGTGTCTGGCATAACATTCTGGTGCAGAAAACATCAGGTCCTAGAGTAGCAGGTGTTTGGGAAGGGGCCGTGTTTGGCCACAGAGCTGAGGGAGCGTTTACCCCAGAAGCCACATAGGAGGCCTTATCTCCGGGCCCACCTTTGCTCTGACCCTTCTGGTTCTCATTCAGGAGTTTAACTCCAGAAGTGCAAGGAAAACACCAATCGCATATACTTACCCAAGCAACAAGCAAAGTACCGAATCTGGACATTTTTGCAAAATACTGATTTCTATCAAATTGATATCGATTTTTTTAAAAGCCCTTACCTGAAGCAATCTGAATTTTGCAACCAGATTCTGCTTGAATCCGTGAAATCTGCTCACCTCCCCTGCCAATAACTGAAACAAATTGAACAGGGTCAGAATACAAGCCCCCATTCCGTATTTCACCATGCATGCATGAATGATCCACTTAATGCCGTCAACTGTTAACGCTTGGCTCACACTCTACACATCCAGTTGGCCCAGTGAGCCCATCCACTCTTTGGGCAGGATGGCAGCAGAAAGCCTGCATGAAAAGCCTACAGGCAGAGGATATTCTAGCTGAGGTGAGGAGAGGTGGGGAAGTGGGGGGCACCCACTGCCCAATGCTCTGGTTTCTTCTCTGCCTGAAGAGACCTGCAGCATTTCAGGGCTGTGGGAAATGGCATGTGCAAAGCATTCTACTACAGGTGACATGAGAGAGATGATAACAAAAAGAACATCCTGGCAAAGGAGCTCAGAAAAAAAAAAGAGAAGAAAAAAGACGAGACAGGAATCAGGGAAAAAGTAGACAACATGGATACTTACTAAATCCAACCATTTTGTCAGGCACTTTGAATTCTTCCGTTATTACTGTCCTAAAAACAAAGAACATTTTGGAAAAAATATAGAATACAGAATTTTGTAGCCATTTTAGCTCCCCAAACTGCTCACACTTGCCATGTTGCAAGATAAAAGCTTAAAATACATCAGGCCAATGTGGTCAACAAATCTACCACCATCTACAAAGAGTGTCACTTAATAAGCCCTCTGGTCAATCATTCCTCCCAGAGATCTAAGCCTCTCATTTCCTTGTGTCAGAGGAAGAAACCTCTGGGTTTTCATGAAACCATCAGCTCCTCTAACAGCTGCCTTCTCTTCATACAGCAGCTCTCAGTGTTGCCTCATTCTGCCTGGTTAGGTGCTCTCTACCCAATGGGTCATCAATCCCTGGTCGCTGAAAGGTCATCTGGGGCCGTGGGAGAGGTTTAGACTTCTAGTATGGAGTCCTCTCTGGATGAAGAAATACCCAACTTTTCTTCAACCTTCCTTGTTTCCTAATCTTTGTCTTGTTTTCTGACCTCCTTCTAATTTATGTCTGTTTTTTAAGGTGAGATGCCCCAAATGGAACCAGCACCTGATGGCAGCGTAATCAGTGCTGACCAGGACAGAGTAATTACCTCACTTACTCTGCAAGGTACTTCTGTTAAATGCTATCCCATCCATTATGTGCCTTTAAAAAAAAAAAAAAAAAAAAAACCTACTACTGCACTGGTTTTTTTCAAACAAACCTTCAAATCTGCCATACAGTGTATTGTGGACAATGTCCAATTTGCCCAACACCCCAGAAAGCAATTAAATCTAAACATTTACCTTGGGAGGATGCTAAATGCAAGTAGTTAAAAAAAAAAAGCAAGCATTTTTAAACATCTCTCACACAGCTGGATTTTTACCCATCATGGAAAGGATTGAATAAGTGCATGTTTTTCGGGAAAGTGCAGCACTTAGAAGAAATGCAATAGCATAAACAGCACTTGCCACCATATCATTTTGATGGGAACAAACAGTCTTCTTGTGGAGTTTACGTTCTCAAGCTTATGTGCAAGACGGGATTCTCTCCACCTCTTGGGGTATATGTGTCCTCCCCAAATCAGGCAATTCATTCCCAGCTTCCTAATCAGTAACACCACGGGTGTGAATGCCAAGCCTTGGTGTCCCATTGAGTTGTGCAGAAGCCAGGTCCCTGTCGGGATGTGCTTCCTGACTCTGCTGTGAGGTATGGATGGCAGGGCTTCTGTACGTGTAGCCAGGAGGCTGCTGCTCACATCCTGTGTAGCATGAGCTGTCTACTCTCAGAAAATATGACCTGGAAATTGACTAGAGGGGCTTCAACACTACTGCAATACCAAATGTCACAAAGCCCGGGCAGCTCTTGGCCCTGAGGAATAACTTTAACTGACTCTAAGGAAGAAATGTACCAACACAAACTGCTCTGGGTTTTCAGGATGAAAATGTTCTAATTGAAATGCAAGGCTGAAATTTGTCTAAGGTATAAAGTATAAACACCTTGCAGAAAAAAATCCTGACTAGTTACGGCTTTATAGGAAAGCCAGCATTTGATGCTAATAATCACCTCATTTAAACGTTTTAATTCATCAACAAACAAAGAAACAATAAAAATTAAAAAAAAAAACCCAGGATAAATCTTTTGTCTGATGCCCAGTGATTTCTAGACGCTCCCAAACCCAAATTCTGATCTAGGCAGAATACAAGATGACAGAATGCTGAAGGAAGGTTAAGGATATGTTACAGCAACAGATATAGGCACAAAACTCATCCTTCCAGAAGAGAAACTGCGGCAGTTTCTTGTATATTTTTTCCTTTTTGAAGTGGTTTCACAAGGGCCACTGTGACCACAAATATCCCATCTTACAGACTGGCCTTTGTAAAAGTCAGGGCTCTTGCTGTATCTCTCTTAAATCCTCAACGTTTGACACAGAAACACAGAATCAGTTAGGCTGAGGCTCTCTGGCAAGTCCCTATCCCTTTGGAGGGATGGAACCCTGGCTTCTGGCCTCCCACCCACACTCCCTGGGCACCCAAAGCATTTTCTTGTGAGCGCCCGACCCTCACACTTCAAGGTGTCTCTTCTCAGGTGAAGGGGCTGAGGATTAATAAAATACTTGGAACACCATGAAACCAGGTAGGAAAATTTCATTCTCTCCTTTTCAATTAAATGTACATTGGTAGAAAGAGCAACTCCAATCTTCTACAAGTATTTTAAGTTACTGCAATAATGGCTGACTTTTAATGCCTTGTATTAGTTTACCCCGAGCCGACACTATCTTGGAAATGGCTAGGAAAAAACTCAAGTCTTAAAGAAGCCTAACCCATGGTTTTTCACACTCTCATAACCTCTGACTTCCTAGCACTCTAGTACAGATGGCGGATCAATAAACAATTAGAAATGATCAATAAATAATAAAACATAACCCACTGCTTACCTTTGATGTACCAAGGCCCCTAACTGGTTACCTACTGTGGCAAAGAGAAAGAGAAAAAAAAAAAAATCAAAGCATTAGTGCGGATAAACTAACTTCATCCTTACCATTCTTACCATTTCAGGGGCGGGGGGAGGAGGCGGGCAGAAAAGGCAGAAAGAAAGCAAACAGTAATTTAGGCTCAGTGGCTGAAATGAATGCGTTATATGATATGAAACAGGAGGGGACATCTTGATCAACACAGTCTCTAACCCAGTGTCCAGCTGAACACAGGATAAGAAATTGATCTGTGTGTCCACATGCTGAGAGGCCTGGGAGAAAATCCTGCTAGCCTAAATCCCTCTACCTTCCTACCTCCCTCCAGCTCTGGATCCAAACTCAATGTAAAGATGGAGAGAGATCCTTCTTTCTCTTTTAAAAACAAATGAGAAGATTTAACCTCCGTGGATGCATTGTCAAAGACTGCTCCATAGCAGCTGTAGTCATGAAGAACATGCACATATGCTCCTCCTGGCCACAGGGGAGGAGACGCTCCCCCAGCCCCCCACCCCACCAACAGCTTAAGCATCTTAGGGAGAGGATCCGGCCTCCTCCCTCCACAGGCCTCGTCACAGATCCACCACAGCAGTCCGTATGCAGCGGACACTAAGAATGAGCAACGCCGTTCAAGCCCATTTCACAGAGACAACAGTGCCAAACTGCCTCTACTTATTAAAATCAACTTGGTAATCACATTCCCACAAAACCACTTTAGCTAAGCTCTGTTTCCAGTTTCCACTCTTTCAGCTATTGATGAGTGTCTCCTTCACCAGCCATCAGCAAAAATGATTCTGTGGTGTTTGTCTTTTGGAAAATGTACCTCAAGAAACAAAGTCAGCAGACAATGAAAAGTACAAATCCTAAACATATCACAAAGAACTGAATGCACCTACCAAGATGCTGAAAAGGGCATTCAGAAATACAGCTTTGGGGAAAGTTATTACAAGGACATGAGATGAGTCGGAAAGGATCGATGACACCAACTTGAGGACAGAGAGTGAAATGGTTTGACATCTGAAATGAATCTGAAATAGACAGCCAACTGCTCTTCTTGTGCTTAAACTTACTGCTGTCATTCTCTGACTGGACAGTAAAGAGACAAAGGAAAAAAACCAGACCATGACATTTAAAAAGAAGAAAAAGCAAGGCAAAACAACGCTAGCAAAAAGTAAACAACGCTACTGAGTCAATACCGTATTTCTTCTGGATCAATAACAGGATAATGGTCTACAGCCAAAATATTGACACTAGACACTATTAATCTGCTTATCTCAGGGATAAGAGAATTGTTTTCTATTGACTTAAAATTTTCTTTTTGCATATCTGTTTGAATATAACATTCTTGCTTGGAACAGGTAGTGGTCACAATTTCCATTTTGCATGAAAACTGGACAATCAACAGCTCAAGAAAGGAATCCTCATCAAAGACTCAGCCCTTGAATGATGTTGGGGCTGAGACATTCCTGAGGCAGGGATGTTGGCCACCAAGGGCAGTGGGGAGGAAAAGAAACACACCAAAGGAGATTGTCAACAGCAGAGTGCCCGTGAGCTTGGTTAGCTGTTCCTATTTATGGGCCAAGCTCAGCTTCCCTGATTGCTATCAGTATTCCCCTCTTAGTGGGTAAAAAAAACCTAGTCAAGCCAGAAGAACTAAAACATCTTGAAATGATGAGAACACGGGGGAAGAATAGGTGCTCAGCAGTCCTGAACTGGGGAAATCAGGCCGCACTGTGGGCTCTGATTTGGTAAAGGATCTCAAAGGGCTGATGATCTTCAGAAATTTGTCTCCACCAGAAAAGCCACAGAAGTAAAGGGCAGTGCTGCTACCATAAAGAACTTCCTGAGATTCACAAGAATATTCAGAGGGTTCCTTTCAAAAGCCATTTGAAATTTTGTGCTCATCACAAAAATGGCAATTCCTTTTTGTTGGCAAAGTATGTGTCACAGGTACCACGCACACGACACGACTGCCAGCCACCGTGGAGGCGCTCATAATGACTAGAGGTGAAAATGTACACACTATCATCCCACAAACAGATGGGCTACTGAGAGCTGTACCACTGAGAGGAAATCAGGTTCAAGTCCAGAGTCAACTCTGAGCTGGTGGGTGCTCAGGAAGGATAAATCATTTCCCTCCTCCATGAAAATGCTAGAGCCCAAGGCTGAAACATGCGATTCAAGTTTCATTCCTGCTGGGCGCGGTGGCTCACGCCTGTAATCCCAGCACTTTGGTAGGCCGAGGCGGGTGGATCACGAGGTAGAGATTGAGACCATCCTGGTCAACATGGTGAAACCCTGTCTCTACTAAAAATACAAAAAATTAGCTGGGTATGGTGGCACGTGCCTGTAATCCCAGCTACTCAGGAGGCTGAGGCAGGAGAATTGCCTGAACCCAGGAGGTGGAGGTTGCGATGAGCCAAGATGGTGCCATTGCACTCCAGCCTGGGTAACAGGAGCGAAATTCTGTCTCAAAAAAAAAAAAAAAAAAGTTTCATTCCTTTGGAACACTCCCATGTGGTGCCTAAAAATGAAAACCAGCAGTTAGATAAGGCACACTGAGTACTCATATGGCCGATTTCCATGTCCAGCTTCAGGGACACGGACCTCTCCTCAGTCTGCACAATGAGGAGGGGTCACACTGAGGAGGCAGATGGGAACACCTATCGTGTTCAATTGAATGAAACTACACTCATTTTCCTGTAAAAAAGAAAAAATGCTGAGTAAAAGCAGTCCTATTTCCACTAATGGTGTGCGCTGGTTGACAATGCATCTTTTTGCTTCAAAAGTTCCCCTTGGTGAAATTCCAGCATATGCAGTGTAGTTCTGGTTTACCTTGTGCCGTAATGAATTGCCTGGGCTATAAGTTGTTCTACAAGATCATAAATTCTTTCTCAAGAGTAATACTCTGCCAATTTTAATAATAATCTTTAAAAAAAAAAGGTGGTCAGGTTGAGTGCGGTGACTCATGCTTGTAATCCCAGCACTCTGGGAAGCCAAGGCGGGCAGATAACTTGAGACCAGGAGTTCAAGACCTGCCTGGCCACCATGGCAAAAGCCTGTCTCTACTAAAAAATAAAAAAATTAGTTGTGTTTTAAGGTGCGTATCTTTAATCCTACCTACTTGGGAAGCTGACGCACAATGAACTCAGGAGGCAGAAGTTGCAGTGAGCCGAGATCATGTTACTGCACTCCAGTATGGTTGACGTATCAAAACTATCTCAAAAGTAAATAAAACAAACAATAGCAAAAAAAAAAAAAAAAAAAAGATGCTCAGACATATTTTTCTCTATTAGTGAAGAGGAAAAAAGATCTCATTTTTTCCCTCCTCCAAAAGAAACAAAAAAAGCACTGGAAAATACACCCAACTTTGCAATATACATCAGCTATCATAGTTTCACCCCCACTCCGACCCCGGCCCAAGGAACAAAAGTGCCAATTCCTCCTTCCCAACAGCTCAGCCAGCACAGGTTGGTACCCACACAGAACGGAACCACTGGCCAGAGGCAGATGAGTGAGTCTGCCAGGGGAAAAATGTCAGTTTTTATGACTGCAAAAACAAATAACCCAAACCTTCCTCTTTAGATTTTGAAAACAATCCTCTCTCCTCTGCCTCTTCTTTGGATTGGCTGTCTCCTCTCACTACCAATGGCTTTCCGAGCCCCAGCCCAAGTCAGTAACACACACTTAGCGGTGAGGATTCAGGGAGTTTTTAGAAAGCCTTTCCCCAGGGACACTACAAAAGCTTCCTGTGTTCTAGGCAGCAACTCTTGCTCCAGGGCCACAAAACACTGATATGCTAAGTTCAGCTAAAAGTCCTTTGGCAAATGTAATTTGTCATTAATTTTGCAAATTACGATTTTTTAAAAAGTGAAAGTAAAATTAAGTTTATCTCAATAATGTCATCTTTTTTTTGTTTGAGACAAGAGTCTTGCTCTATCTCCCAGGCTAGAGTGCAGTGGCACGATCTCGGCTCACTGCAACCTCCACCTCCTGGGTTCAAGCGATTCTTCTGCTTTAGCCTCCCAAGTAACTGGGATTACAGGTGTGTGCCACCATGGCTGGCTAATTTTTGTATTTTTAGTAGAGACAGCGTTTCACCATGTTGGCCAGGCTGGTCTCGAACTTCTGACCTCAGGTGATCCACCTGTCTCGACTTCTGAAAGTGCTGGAATTACAGGTGTGAGCCACCTCGCCCAGCCAATAATGTCACTCTTACCTGTAGTCTACTATAACCTTCTGTGAGTGAAAACAGCACCACCCCAGCAACACTAGCTGCTTTCCTGGGCGCCTCACCTGCATGAAACCACTTAGTCCTGCGAGAACCCACCTTGGAGACAGCTGCTGTCACTGCCATTCCCATCTTACTCAAGAGGAAGGTGCAATCACACGGCACCCAAGCCCTCAGAATGGCATGCAGGTGAGGGGCCTCGTGCCCATGCAATCTCTGCACCCCTTCATCTTCCCCGTCCTTTATCTTGTGGGTTTTAACACTTATCACTGTTCGATTTTGTGATATTCTCTCTCTTGATCATTCTTCATCTCACAAGTCAGTGCCTTCCAGGTGCTGAGTACTGTAACAAGACCTTAAGATAAAACAGTCAATGAAGTCATCTTTGCCCTCAGGAAGCTTAGAGTCTAGCAGGGAAGGCAGAAGGCAACAGAGGCGGCCTACACTAGCTTCCACGGGTGTGTTGGGCCCTGCACCTTCTCCCCAAGTGCCTAAAAAGAAAAAGAATTCTATGATACCATATTTATAGCCCTAAGCTTTCCTTTCATTTAGGTCAGTGTCATGAAATCAATATGGGGGTCACAACCAGCTTTACAAAAAAAATAAAATAAAATAGAAAATACAATGTACCATTATGTAATAAGGTAATGTATTTCATAAAACTTTCAGTCATATATGTGTTTTAATATGTCTGTACTAACTAGTTCTGATGGGAACAGTTTTTCTCACATTGGGAGTGGTATTTCTTTTTTTTTTTAATCTGAGACGGA